CTGATGTTGATGGTTTAGCTAATTCTGCTGCTAAATCTGTAATGAAAATACATTTAAAAAAAAATTTATATTGAAAGGTATCTTACCATTTTGAACCACAGAAGCTTCCGAATTAATTTAAAAAGTGGATTGTCCTCCAGATGGCAAAGGCATAGCATAACTTGCTATAAATTCACCGTCACTAAAGGCAAGCCTGTTCAAAGGCCAAAGTCCTGGTTTTTCAAACGATTTTGTGATATTTTTTTGCGAAAATGCTTGTTGAAAGGCAGGCTTGGTTAGCTGGGCAATTTGTTTTATTATTATTGTTTTTCCGGGATTCATTGTCATCCAGTCATTAAAAGAAGTAGCGCAGTATGTTTTAAATGGCCCAAAAACACCAATATCCGACGGCTGCAACTTATGTGACGTGTGAGGTGGAAATGATAACATTGTGATACCGTTATCGCAACAAAAGTTTATTATCGCGACAAAAGTTTACAGCCTTTACTGTTATTTGTGACTCATGGTTATCCATCAAAAGAAGAATTCTATTTTCTTTGTTACATTTAGTATACTTCACAATATGCTCAAGAACACTCAAAAACAAGTCGGAAGTCATCCACCCTTTTTTGCTTCCTAGGCCAGGACTTGATGGTGGGGCTTCAGTAAGGTATTCCTCGGGATGGCATATCCTGGGGAACATATATACTGGGGGCAGAGCGTTTCCAATTACATTTACTATACCGACGAATGTCGTTAACTCTCTTCTTTCTGCAGATGCAGCTAAACTTACTTGCTTTTTCCCTTTAGCTGAAACTATTTTGACAGCTTTTAAAACGGTAGTAACTCCAGTTTCATCAACGTTGTAAATATTCTCGGGTTTAGAATTAAATTTTTTTAGGACGTTTACGAAGTTATCAAAAAATTCATTGACAGCGTTTTTATTAAACCGTGTGGCCCGCACCAAACTAGTATTTTCTGGTTTTCTCAAACTAATTTTATCACGATTTCTTTTCATAAAACCTTTGAGCCAGTCTACACCTGCATTTTTATTACCATTCCATGCTTTAGGAAACTTACAGTCCGAAAGCATTTTAGCATAATCATAAGCTAAAGTCCTGATTTGCTTGTAGGTCATACCATAATTCATGTCGGAACATACTTTTATATATTTTATTTTTAACCATATATGAAATGTTGTCATTACTGACTTTTCAAAAATTTGAAAATGTGACATTACTGTCTTTTCATTTTCCTGCTCCATTACCTGTCCCAGGACGGGAAGTGAGGACGGGAAATTTTTTCCGTCCTCATTTCCCGTCCACGGGCGGAAAATGGAGCAGGGAAATATTTCCCGTTCTCATTTTCCTCTTCATTTGCCGACCTCATTTGGTTGCTCCGAATTTTTTTTTTTTCAAGAAATTATGGTTAAAAATAAAATAGTATACAACCCTCGACGGGAAACTTCATTGCTGTCTCGAGGTTTAGTTTACTACTATAAAACTATAAAACCTCTCGACCAGTAATGAAGCATTTCCCGTCTCGGATTGTAATATACTATTACTAGCTCGGATTCTTGGTCATCAGTAAAAACTTGCGCTACAGTATATTTACTGGAATATACTATGGGTTGGGAATTTTCCTGGTCACTACTTTCATTACCACAGTCCTGATTGTACATTCTAACTAAACGTTCCGGCGAGTATTTTCTTCTTAGCTGCTTAATTCTAGAATGCAATGTATCCCATTTGACGTTAAAAGTTCTTGCAGCCACTCTCTCTGACATTTTGTGCCTTAAGACTTCACAAATTGCATTTTTCAGAGCTGCCTCATTAATCTGTGATCACTCGGTCTTTCTTACGTAAGTTCTTACCATCTTAAATTTCAAAAAAAAATTGTTTATACTCAATGCGGGGCAGATTCAACCACCAAGAAAAATAGTCGGGGCAGATTCAACCACTGGTTGAAACTGCCCCGCTTCCAAGTGGTTGAATGTGCCCCGTCCCAAAGTTCAGACATAAAATCGAGTTGTTGCTATAGGAGTAATTTTAAGGTTAGGACGGGCGAAAAATATTAATTACTAACTGTTATAATATAATATTTCACTGATTAGTGATAAATATTGCAAGAAACTCTTCGTGAAACGAAAAACTAAAAACTTACCTTTTGAGCACAATTTTCACGTACATACGCACTACACACGAGGCATGGCAGCTATGGCTTCCAAATTCCTTTGGTGTATGGGAGGGACAAATCACATGATTGTGTCACACTTTGCGGCGGTAAATTCGAATTAAGATAAATTTTACTGGTACTGGTTGAATGTTCCCCTTGGTTGAATGTGCCCCCTCTCCCCTAAGTATATAATTGACCTGTCTCGCATAAATAAAAAAAGAGAGCTTAATCGTAATAAATACAAGTTAGAAAGTATTAAAAGATGACATGCGCGTGTAACTCGTGGCAGCAGTGTAGCCATCAGATTGTATTGTTGCAGAACAAATGTAGACAATACAAATCGAACATTATAACGTTAAAGAAGTGGAATAGTATCAAGTGCTTTACAACGCCTTAAATCAGACAAAAGAAAAGCTTTAAAGTGTATGCATCGTTTGCATAACATACCCGGGTTCGTTCGGTAAGACTGAACGATGAGAATTTTTGTTACCTTTAAACAACAAATCTTCTGAAAAACGAAATGAAGAAAAAAATAAGACCTACGTTGTTGGAAACAAACAATTTCACTTACTGGACATGCGCCCGACATACCAAATATTTGGGAAATTTAAGGGAAGTTGTGATATGTAAAAAAAAACAAAAAATTTGTGAAACGTCTACTTTATTATTAAAGTAAATCGTACCGTTCTCATCCTGGAACTAACGAGGGGAAAGAGCACGGTAGAGAAACCCTCGATCTAACATTTCTAAAAATCGAAACATACTGTATCATTTTAATAATAATTGTCAATAATTCAATAATTTAAGTCAATAAAAGTTTAAATTAGGTACCATCCCTTGTCTTTGTGCTAAAATTTTAATTACACACACTACATTCAATCAACACTACCTATATTCAATACTGAAGAGTTTTTTTGTTAGTTAGCCAGTTTCCCAGCAGGTACTGAGGTCCCATACGGGAAGCTACTCAGCTATAGTTGTTTTTGAGCCAATATCTCTATAGATTGATTATTTCAATTTGCTAGGATATTCTCTCGTCAGGATAGGAAAATGTTAGTAAATTCAACAAGGCCCTAATGCACGCTCTAAATCCACAAATCAAAAACCCAGCACAAAAAGACAGCACATAATTTCTTAGGTTTTAATTTACTTCTTTATCGGTGTTGTTTACAGCATGAAACGTTTTTTGTTAAATACATGAACAATGCACATGTTATAAAAAAATGGTATAAACAAACAAAAAAAAAACATAAAAAATGGAAAAAATGATATTTGTATAAATTGAACTCTCACAAACAAAATAATTAATCAACTAACCTGTGAACGCTTCTTACACACACACTAATAACAAATTGGATTGAACAATCAATTTTAATGCAAAATAAAAATGAAAATTGAATAATGAATAATTACAGACACGCGACACGTTTTCTAAGGGACCAGTCCAGCTCGTTCTGTAGTCTAGTTGCATATTCTCTTGTATCCTCTTCGGTTTCTGTGGCGCGCTCGTTCAATCCTAAACTTGAGGGCGCATACATGGTTGCAACATTTACTTTTATTCAGTAAACGTTTTTTTAAAAAGTTAAGATTTCAAGAAATAATATTTTAAATAGGTGGTTTTCCTCAGTTCCATCCGGCAACATCGCACAATGAAATTGCAAAGGAATATGTCAAGTATAATCCAACATAATATTAAACGACACTGCGGTGAGTTCAAGTAATACGTAAAGTATTAGTTTGCTCTTCGTCGAATTACACGTTACAAAGAAAGAAGGAACGATTACTTCTGAACTCGCCCCTGAATAGAAATGAAGAAATATGACGCAAGCCCGTGACAAACTTCACTTTCTCACCTGCTTGCCACAGGCTGCGCGCGCCGATTCAGGTAATACGAGACAGGGGTTCGATTTTTCAAACCATTCGGGTACATTTCGTACACGAAATTTGACTGCTCCCCATTTAATTTACATTGCTGTCAGTCAAATTTCGTGTACGAAATGTACTCGAATGGTTTCGAAAATCGCACCCCAGGTCAATCGTCCCCGCCAACAATTTTTTTTCAGTTGAAAATCTCGAGAAATTGAAATTGACCACTAAAAAAAAGGTGTCTATTTGAATTTTTCTCCCAGTTGCCTGGTATGGCGGAAGAAAATATACCTATTCTTTTAGTAATTTTACATTGCCTGGCAGAGGCAGGCCTATCAACTAATTATATAATAAATGAAGTAACTAGGTTATTACCGAACGCGAGCGAGAGAAATTAGCAAACTGAGCCGGCGAGGCAAGGTTTGCAATCTCTAAGGGCCGTAACTATATACCTAATTACCATTCGATTATAAATGTCCATATCCATTATCCCAAAGAAGTTTAAAAAATTAGAGAAAATAAAATTGCTTCTCTGGCTGTCTCTCACCTTTGACAGTGGACGAGTAGATTTAGTTGATGGGTAGGTAAGTGATACCTCAATCAATATACCATAGCGAAGGTATGTACAGCGTGCGTTATCATTATTACAGCACGCTATTAAAATTCGCCGTGTGGTAATATGGTACTTACCGCACGCAAAATGGCGTGGTATACATTAGTTACCGCACGGTTGTAGATAGAATATCATATTTAACTTCTGCATTCCAGATTCAGAGCAGCGCTGTAGATGTAATACATCACCTTATACTCATTTTCTTCTTTCTAATTTTTTTACCTGTTGCCTGATTTTTCTTTAAAATACCCTAATTGGTAATAACTCGGGTAATAACTTCTGTCGTGACAACGTTAGTTTTGCTCTTTTTTCTGACAACAAAAACAAAAACAATAAGCCGGTCTACATTCCAAGTTTTTTTTTTCAGTCTCAAACCCACACCAAAAGATGGCGTCACGAAAAGTAACCCTAGCAAAAGGCATCGAGAACGTCTCAATGCTGAACTGGATACTTTGGCAAGCTTGTTACCATTTGAACAAAACATCTTATCGAAACTTGACAGGCTGTCCATACTACGTCTTTCCGTTAGCTATTTACGCACAAAAAGCTATTTTCAAGGTAAGAACTAAATTATTTATGAGTCCATGACAAACTAAATATGTTTACACCTTATCAAAACCAATAAGAGAATTAAAAACCCAAAAGAAAATTAAAAACCAACACAACCGGTATAATCATAAATAACAATTAGTAGTGTATATACAAAAATCCAAAAAATAAATTTCTTTCTGGTCAGCATTTGGGGGCCTCTTCATTAATTTTGGGCTTGTTGGGATACGATTTACTACGATATTTTTAATAACTTTCTTGACTTATGCCCTCATCTCCCAAATGTATGTAAATAACTAATTTATTACGCGTGTAAGGCTGAAACGAGGTTGATAACTGCTAGTTATATAATTAAGAAATAAACCTCTATAATTGAAATTATTATGATAGTCTCTCGTCTTCATTGAAAATATTTATACGCAACCGAACAAATTCAGTTTATATTTTGTGAACCCAGGTGATTTCGTGCTGGCAGTTAAATAACACGCAAGATCTGCATTAAAATTGAGCCGCTCAATCACATCGCCTAACTCATTTTCATAAACATTAGTAATGGATTGTTATTTGTCCATATAATGCCATAATTGATATGTCAAGCTTAAATGCAATTTAACTTTTCTCTAAAGTTAATAATTCGCGCTAACAATAAACTGTTTGCTTTAACATACAATCGAGTTTTTTGCACAAAACAGATTTTGTTTGTCAGTGTTTTTGGTAGCTCAACTCTCCGATAATATTGTCGAACTAACTTTGTCCATTTTTTGCCAACTAGAAACTCGCTTCTACCACACTTTTCCCAACTCATCGATCTAGTCTGTCTGTGCGCCGTATGGCCGCGCTTCCTCCTGCTGCATAATTATAGGGCGGAAGTTTCCCCATTTTCCCCCTACGTTCCGCGTCCGCCCTGCAATACCGGAAGGTTAGCACAAGCCCTTCGGTTTTGCTTTCTAAGACAATCATTGCTGGCTGCCTCAAATTAAAAATCGATACCTATAACCTACCTCTGAGAGGGGTGGTTGTTGCAGATAAATTCATTAATTTTGTTCAGTTCTGATGATGGTTTTTGTTTTAAAGTTTTAATTTATGGGCCCGCAACGTTTCCTGCAGGGGGTTGGTAATTTATAAATCGGTGGCTGTTTAAGTGACAGAAAATTCAATGGGTCTTTCGTCGACACTGCACTAGAGAGAGGCGGAAACTCTGAAACGCGCATGTAGTTGGATAGGCAACGAAAACTAGGTACTGGTTTGCTATAAATTGAATGCTAAATTGTATGTTTATTACCGGATTTCCATCGTCCACAGATTTCCTCTAAACTTGTTTGAGTGAATGCTACGAGCATGCAGTTGAGAAGTATTGATGTATTTTAACAAGCATTCCATTTGTTATTTCGTCGAAGCCGGGGCTTTCCTTATTTTTAAGATGTTTCAAAATTTTCCCTAGTACCTATATTGAAGGTTAGTTCTTCTAGTCAACGTCTTGCTTTCCCGATAAGCAGCTGTGCACTTTTCTTGTTTCATTCATATTGTTTTACTAAATAAACTCTGCACTCGTCTGCATGAATCTTGTTGGTATGTGTAGTGTGTTGTGTAGTATATTTGATTTCTGATTTATTCTCTCTCAACATGACTCATTGCATATCTTCCTCCGATTTCTGTAAATATCTCTTTCCATCTTTCGCAGTAGGTATGCTGTATTCCCTTCTGCTTATGGAAAGTATTACTTTCTGTTCCTTAGATACCTAATATATGCTTTCTCCTTGTTTTCATATATAACTATTTTATTATTTATTGGGTCCTCCAAGATTTCGAGTATTTTTTATTATATTTGGATTATGTCATGTGGTTCAAGTTTTTGTGTAGTGAGTATATGATTAATCATATTTGACAGAGTACCAGTTGGTTATCGCTGCCCATATTAGCTACTCAAGGGTTCTCACATTCAGTAACTATAACCTATGCAAAAATAATTGTTCTCAGTGATGATATAATCTATCAATGTTGCTGCCCTCTTGTGTGACTCTTTGTATCAAAAACCCAAAATGAGTTTAAGGAAACAAGGAAAGAAGAAGTTTCAAATAAAGGAAAAACTCACTATAATGACAAGTCGTTCATTCCTAACTAAACCAGAAAACAAACTCAAATAAAGAAGAAACCCACTATAATGACAAATTATTATATCAATGGTGAGTTCGGAATGGTGGAAAGTGTCGACACTTTTTACACTATTGACATTGTGGCGTTCGTTAATTGGTAGGAGTAAGCGAGGGGTGGTTAACTGGTCAAAATCCGTGTACAAGTTAGACGAAATCCTAGAAAATCTCAAGAGATCTAGTCAAAATCCCTAAAAATCTTCGAAATCCTTAAAAATTTAATAAAATCCCACAAAATCTCTTGAAATTGCATAAAATCCTACAAAATCTAACAAAATTTCATTAAAACCAAAAAAATCCTGCAAAATCTCATAAAATCATTAATATTCCTAAAAAATATTTTCTTTGAAATTCCCAAATATCTTTTGAAATTCCAAGTCTCTCAGAATTCCATAATTTAGTGGAATTTCGAGGAATTTCGGTAGAATAATTATGTTATTCTGAAAAAGGAATTACATGTGAAATTTTTGCGGAGTTTCCATAGAATTCACATTAAATTTTAATTCCTCTCGAATTACATGAAATTTCAGTGAAATTCCGATCGAATTACACGAAATCATAAATGAATTACGTGGGGGAATTCTAAACAAATATATGAAATTACACCGAAATTCCCAACATGAAATTTCAGTTCTTACTAATTTTAGTAAAATTCCAGATAATTCCAGTTGAATGCCGAGGAATTTCCGGCTAAAAACATAGAATTTCGGTGATATTCCGAAAACTTCCCATGAAATTTCAATATATTTCGGTGAATTTTCAAGAAACTTGAAGTTTCATTAATATTTCCAGAAATTCCTGTCTATTAAAAGAGAATTTCAGTGAAATTCCGAAAAATTCTTATGAAAATAAATTAAATTTTAAAAAATTCCTTGAAGTTTCATTGGACTTTCAAGAAATTTTCGGCTATGAACGTGGAATTTCAAAATATTCTCATAAAATTTTAGTGAATTCCGTGGAATTTTTAAGAAATAACATGAAATGTCAATGAAATTCCGAAGAATTTTATGAAAATTTTGTGGAATTCCAGGATATTTCAGTGGTAAAATTTTGGGGAATTTCAGTAAAAAGTTTTAAAAAAAATATGGAATTTTTTTGGAAAGTGGAATTCCGAGGAATTTCATGAAATTCTATACTGTAATTCCGAAAAAAATTGTCTCAGAATTCCATAAAATCTTCTGGTGAAATGTTAAGAAATTTCTATGGAATTACTTAAAATTTTCGCGAAATTCCCGTGGAATAACTTGAAATTTTAGTGGACTTCCGAAGAATTTCATGAAATCTTCGAGGGGTTAATCACTTCCCGAAATCGTGTCACAAATTCGTAATTCGTCCGAAATCCCCGAAATCTTTACGAAATCCACGAAATCACTCCGAAATCCGCCGAAATCCCTCAAAATCGCTCTAAATCTAAAATCTTGTCACAGTGAATAATCCCTTGAAATCTTTTCGAAATCCTACCGAAATTCTACCGAAATCCTCCGAAATCACCCGAAATCCCTCAAAATCGCTCTAAATCCGAAATCTTGTCACATTTTTCCCTTAGTGAATAACCCCTCGGAAATCTTATATTGTAATTCCGAAGAAAAAAAAAATTCGAAGAATCCCATTGAATTTTATGGTGTGAAATGTAACATGTGCAATTTTTGCGGAAATTGCAAGGAATTGTCAGGCAATTACATGAAATTTAAGTGGAATTTTGAACAACTTTTATCGTTTCATAAGGAATTCCAGTGAAATTCCGAAAAATCCTAATGTAATAACACGAATTTTTATTTTTATTCCAAGGAATTCCCAGTTAAAAACATGGCATTTTAGTGGAATTGAAATTCCGAAATATTCCCATCGATTTACTGAATTTTAGTAAAATTAGAGGAAATTTCAGAAGTGGAATTCCGAGGAGTTTCCGGCTAAAAGCTTGGAATTTCGGTGAAATTTGGAAAAATTCCCATGTAATGATATGAAATTTCAATATATTTCGGTGAATTTTCAAGAAATTACTTGAAGTGTCATTAATATTCCCAGAAATTCTCAACTATTGAAAGAGAATTTAAGTGAAATTCCGAAAAAAATTTATGGAACTAAATGAAATGTTGAAAAAAAAATTGAAGCTTCATTGGAATTTCGAGAAATTTTTGACCAATAACGTGGAATTTCAGTGAAATTTCAAATAATTCTCATAAAATTTTAGTGAAATTCCGAGGAATTTCTAAGAAATTACAGGAAATTTTGTGGAATTCCAGGATATTTCAGTGGTGAAGTTTTGGGGAATTTCAGTAAAGTTTTAAAAAAATTATGGAATTTGGAATTTCTATAGAATTTTGGAGAATTTCAGTGTTATTTCGAAAAAAAAAATATATAATATATACGAAATATTCGCAGAGTTTTTATCAAATTATCTACAACTTCACTTTGTGTCGACTTACATAAAATTTCGATGAAATGTCGAGTAAAATTCCAAGGAATTCTCGTCGAATTACATACATGGAATTCCTTGAAATCTTTTTGTGTAATTCCAGTGAAATTACATCGAATCCGAAGAATTCCCTTGGAATTAAACAGAATTTCCGTGGAATTTTCATGAAACCACGAAAAATTTCGGCGAAATTCCGAAAAATTGAATTAAATTTTAGTGAAATTCTGAGTAAATTCTGTCGAATTACATAAAATTTTAGTGGAATTCCGAGAAATTTCATGAAATCTTTTACTATAATTCCGAGGAATTTTTGTACAAGAATTCCATTGAATTTTATGGTAGAATTCCATAGAATCTTATAGTGAAATTCGGAAAAGTATTATGAAATCCTATGATAAAATTTCTAGGACTTTCTGTTTTTCTATTCAAACTTATCATTTGAA